ACAATGATTTAATTTCACAACCGCATGGTCGGTTTCATACCTGACGCCTTTCAGACGCCTGTCAAATTGACTTTGTTAAATATCAATTTATTCATAGCGTCAGAATGCTTTTTTCTGGTTATAATCTTATTTTCTCTTTTTAGGATATGTCAACAGCTTTGGTAATTTCATTATGTCTCTCTACAAAGGAAATCTGAATTCTATATGTGTTGAAGAGACACCAGATGCCAGTTATACAAGATCAATGGGTTCTTATAAAAAGGTTAAAGCACACAACATTGTGGTTTAACTGTTCCTCAAAACTCTCTTTAAGACTCCTCTTAGAAGGGGCATATAGCACTATTTTATGGATCATTAATGTAATATGAGTGTGTATATTATAAAGTGATTTACATTAAACATACATTATGCAAGAGCTAAATCTTCCTATTGCAGGTCTTTATTTAGGCCTGAAATGTTATATAAATTAAAATTATTAATTAGACATTAAAAGATCATAATCAACTCTTCATGACATCTTATCTGTCCGATTTCCTCTGGATTTGAATCCAATCTGCTGTGCAACATCTGTTGATGATTAAATGCAAAAATTAATAATCGACCCTACTAAGATTTTAAAATAAGGTTTTCTCGGCTTAGATTGAAGCAATTTGACTGACATTTTCAGCATATTCCCTTTACATTATCTAGTTTTTTTTAACTATTATAGTGAGAACTGCCAGCTCTTTATCTAATCTTCCGTAATGTATCTTTTTGTAATTTCTAATCAATTATATTTTGTGAACGGAAGTCATTTGTGCCTGCTTTGCCTATTTTAAACGGGTTTTTTTTTATTATCATTTTGTTTTTGTGAATTAGCCATTTTTAATTACTTCTGCATGATCTTCTGGGATATGTTTTTCTGTTTTCATTTGAAATAGATTTCAAAACTATTATGTCCATAGAGTACATGGCATGACGTCTACTGATTTAAAAATTTTCATTGTATCTTAAACATTGGATATTAGGATTCCATATTGTCACCGTAAGACAACACCAATATTGATTGAAATGGACCAATATTGAATTCTAATTCGTGTTTTTAATTTCTAATATTATGTAAAATATTGAGTTACAGGTTTAGCTCCTTTAATAAATAATATATAAACCTAACTTGGAGCTGTCCGATCATATCGTGCTGATTTTGGATAATATTGAGTTACAGGTTTAGCTCCTTTAATAAATGATATATAACCCTAACTTGTAGTTGTCCGATCATATTGTGCAAATGTTTAAAGGGCAATTACATGCAGAAACCAATGAACACACATCGCAATGCAAAGAAATCCCTTGAATTAAAATCTAAAGTAAATACAAATACAAAATGCAAAAAATAATTGATTTTTTTGTCAATTTTCAACAGCCCCATACCCCTCTTACGTTTTAGACATGATTTAATACTATTAATTGTTTTATTTATAATTATGGATGTAGCAGACAGTAGGATCACGAGTACATGTGTGCATAGTGAAAAATCGTTGCTAAAAAAAGTCAAGTAATCGATTCTTTTGTTAATTTTCTACAAAAAAAATGTTTCAGACATGATTGCATGTTTTTAATTGTTCTTTTAGTAATGGGTGTAGCATCACGAGCACATGTGTGAATATTGAACATTCTTCGCTAAAAAAAAAAAAGAAAATGATCTTGGTTTGGGAACTCTCAATGCCATCTTAATTACCAAGCAAAATCAATATAACTACTGAACAAATTTAAAGATTTAAATTGAATTTGAAATTCAAGAAAAGTAATAGGAAAAGCCAAAATCGATTTAAGCAATCTATATTGTGGGAACTTTTAGCAAATATAATCTACCTTATGTCACAAAACTAAAATCTATCAGCAGAGCTATAACAAGAATGAAATAAAACTTTATCTAGCTTCTCCATACGTAAATTTATACAGAATCAAACTAATGGCAATGAAAAGAAAGGGTGTTTCTTTTTTTAAAACCATTTTAAAAAGAGAAACTTGTTTTATTGTATCTCTATAAAAAAAACTTTATGGTAAATTAAAAAGATAGATTACAAGGTATAAAAAACATAGCAGTTAAAAAGAGAGAGAGAGAGAGAGAGAGAGAGAGAGAGATGGGGTTTATCGTTCACTCGACACAAACCAGGTAATTTCGGGACTAACAATACATATGGTTCAATTTTATTTCAATAATTTACTTGAATGTAGGGTTCTTTAGCAGTGGGAGGAAACCGGAGGACCCAGAGAAAATCCACAAGGTTGGACTGGCATCACTACTCCTTGTCATGTACAACCGGGGAATCGAAATCATGCCAGATGACTCAATGACAGACCTTATGATACAATGCGCACACACTAACCATTCGGCCATCCAACATCCCCGTTTGGATAACAAACAAGCAAATTCTGTATAATGTATAATATCATGTTGACAAGGGTAATAATCTTTAAGTAATTATCAGAAACAGTAATTGTTATCCATTGCAATAATCAAAACAAAGAATATAAATTTAAAGTCTATCAGATGATAACTAGCAGTGTTAAAGCATTCACAACTTGGACAGTGGCTTCATAACTCTAGAAGTAATGAATGTAACTTTCAAATAAACTGGATAATTTATGCCCTTCAAATAACACACTATTTATGGATAACAATTACTATGGTTTATTTCACCGCAACGTTTCAACAAGATTTCACAAGTTATCAAGCCTATATATAACACAAAAAATTAAATGAAAAGAATATGGTTATATATAAACAAGAACAGTGCGAACCCTCTAATGGGATGCAAAATCAGCAAGCATGAGCAACTTTATGTCCTTCACAAGATTCTACAAAATGATCAAAGGCAATTACTCTGGCATTTATTAGCAATACCTGAAATCTCATATGAATCTTAGTTTCACCAACGTAAATAACATATCTAAAGTTTTAAAAGATCAAATGATAATGTACTCTTCACAATAACTGGCAGTTATAACATACTACCACATTTCAATATGGGTGGATAAAACAACAAACACCATTATTGAAAAACAAATTGGCCTTGAAGTGGGAACACTTTGTCTACAAAATGAATATTATCTTATAAACTGACACAATGAAGAATAATGTATGATTAAGAGAATGATTCGTCTGAAGAAAATTATATTGAAAATCTAGAAGAGCACCAGAACCGTGAAGTAAACAGATTATAACCCATGCACATCCTTGATAAATTACTGGGGTTTATTCATCATATGGCATTAACTGTCCATTATTCATTTCTTTTTTAAACGTAATTTTAAATGGATTTTAAAAGACAGCAGATTGGAAACAGAAGGCACAGAGAAGACAAGCTTAACACAACTAAATATATAGTGGTCCAAAAATTATTTAAATTGATCAATCCCATCTTTGTATCAAATGTCCATTATTCAGCTCCGTTTTAAATTCAAAACTAATTTGAAATGGATTTGTTTTTTAAAGGGACAACAAGCAGGGAACACAAGGCAAATATAGAATCTAAAACCAAACACAACCAAATACACATCGATCGGTAAATTATTTTAACAGATCAATCCGAAAGTATGTTATCGCCATTTGAAGTTTACATTAGTTTCGCTTTGATTACATGTTTTACATTGAAGTCATACTGAAATGTATATGCCTCTTTGATTTTTTAAAACATATTTGGTTTGTATCTGCTAACCGCAAGGCCAAGACATTACTATCTATCCTACATTATATTTTAATGTCCTATATAACTGACTGACATGTAGGTAGAAGAACCCTTGGCGGTTGGAATTTGATGAAGAGTACACAGAAATGCTGCTGGCCAGGCAAAATGCCCCTCATAGCACAATACATAGTGTCTTCAGACTAAAAGTAAGATTTATATTTGTTAACCTTACTTTGACTCTTCTTACCTTTTTCTCGCCAATTATTCAATTCAATCATTATATGTGAATTCTCCCAGACTATTTGACATTTAGATACTCAATCAACAAGAAAAGAGCGTTTGATCTCTATTGAACCCCAGACTACAAGGACAAGGGTCTTTCTGATTTAAGGTAAAATTAAACGTCGAGTTGCACTGACCTTTGCTATTTTGATTAGTGATGGGGAAAGCGCTACATGATTAACTTTTCATTTTGGCAGGTCTGAATGAAGTCTGTATGTTAACCAACTTCAGTTTCATTAAAGAGATTTTGCAACCATAATGCATGGAATTTTCCATGAAGACAAAGTTACCATTTTACGGCTTTCAATGGCATTTGCATGTTTTTATCTGTGGTTCCTCAAAAGGGTAAGTCGAACAATCTCTTCAGGACATAAGGTCTTTTAAAAATCAAAATCTCAAAAACACAGTCTGAATTGAATGGCAGTCTTTGGTGTCTGGTTATTCCAGTCTACACCGGTAGTATTCTCCTACATGGGATATGTTTAGCCTCATTCATCGAATTGCTTCATACAACTGGCGCTTGCTTTTGTTTTAAATATTGGATATCAGAAGCCCAACTTTTCACGGTAAGATAACAACATCAATGTTGATTTAAATTGCCCAATAAGCCCAACATTTCACGGTAAGGTAACAACATGAAAGTGTAGATTTAAATTGACCAATATGTCATGTTTGGACTGTCGAATACTGTGGATGATACTGAGTTAAAGACTTGGCTCCTTTAAGAATGATTAAATAACGAGCTTCTGATAATGGGTTATGTTTCTACAATGGTGTATGAATATCCTTGCATGTATTCTGATGGATTACAATTCACAAATAAATCCCATCAAATAGAACCAGTGTGAGTATTGGTGCCATTTCTGTCACATTTTCAATAACGATGCACTGTATTTACATATTGGTCAGTCAACATGCAGAATGCAAATAGTTGAATAAAATATCAAGGGCATTCTGGCAAAGACTTGGAATACATTCAATTAATACTAGCATGCAACCTCTCTTACTTTCATTCGCTTCTTTGAATCAATTTATTCAATATCCTACCTCTTAACTGTTTCTGCTGCACCCATTAAATTCTTTCGTGCCGTACCAAGTTTATTCTGGAAATCTGATTCTGTTTTCATGTACACCAAAACTTCAGCAGAAATCTGAAGGAAAAAAAATCTATTACATGTTATTCTGAAATTACAAGTCAAATGGATTTATTTCTTGTTCTACAGATATATCTGATAAAATGTCTAGAGAAACATTTAACTTTATTCCAGCTTAAAAATTATCTTTAACAAAAGACTTTTTTCCTGACAATAAAAATAAATTCCAAGTCCAATGTCAAATAATGCAATTAATAAATCTGTTTTCAGATCTATTCCAACTTATATATTATCTTTAACAAAAGCGGCTTTTCTACTGAAGAAGAAAAATAAATTTAAAGACCTATGTCAAATAATGCAATTAACAAAATTATTTTCCCTGTTCTTTCATCCTTCATCCTGACTGAAAATGCAATATTAAGTTGCTTATGATGTTTTTTGATGCAGATTTAGAGAAATCTTTTCAAAGTAGAAATGGCAGCTCCATGTATTTCAAGACCAAATGTTTTAAGATGTTTTTTACTGTCTACAATAAAATTTGAATTTATAAAAAAATTTCATTCATAGTTTAGACCTGCTCAATGGTTTCTAGGGATTCAAAATTTGAAAGAATAAAATGAATGGAAAATCTTCTGAAGCAAATGAAAAAATAAAATTGTTAGCTATATACATAAGTCATGTGTTCTAGAAAAAATAAACATATCCTGTCATGTGCATGCTACATGCATTTGTCACTACTTACAGTATAGCTAACCGAAGTAATGTTAAAAAGAATAATGTTAACCTCTTTTAAAACATCACGTAGCATTCTAGTTTCGTGTTTACTTACCTTTTTTAAAACATTATGTAATGTTCTAGTTTTAGGATCCATTGGTATGAAAGGATCCAGTAAATATTCCTGTATATTAGGGTGTGGCAATATGGCCACTCGGGATATCAATGATGTCACTAGCAGATTGACAGGATAACTCTAAAATATAAAACAATGCCCTTTATAATCAAGAATAATCCCCAACCTAGATTCTTGGTCTTTGGACAAAAAAGGCTGTATACATGCACCTATATACAAATTGCTTACAGAGAGAGAGAGAAATTGGGTTTAACGTCCACTCGACACCAACTAGGTCATTTCGGGACTAACATATGGTTTAATTTTATTTCAATAATTCGGAGGACCCGGAGAAAACCCACGAGATTGGACAGGCGACCCTGTTCCTTGCCACGTACAATCGGGGATTCAAAACCACGCCAGTTGACTCAATGACAGGCCGCATGATACAGCACGCACGTGCTAACCATTCGGCCATCCAACCCCCCAAATTGCTTACAATTATCATCACAAGATCTCTTTGATTTCAGTAAAAGATGGATTACCAAGCAGAGAAACATACATCCGCCAAGCAGTTAAGTCATCTGAGCAGTCCAAAAAGGTCAATAACTTTGAAGTTCTTATCAGAAATTGTTGAAAATAAACAGACCTCTTCATCTCATGACCGTCAAGGAAGCAAATTAATACAAGCCTCCTTGGCTAGTTTTTGTGTCCTATTCTTTATGCCTTTAAATTGTACAATAGTATCAAAATAAATACTGTTTAAACTATCTCATGATTGTAAATACTGTGTGTTAATTCAAAGTCAATCATACGATCAAGAGTTCAAGGGCTAGAACTCCAGACAACAATTACCGGTATCAGAAATCTCTGAAATTAAATAGGTGTGTTATGAATCTCCATTCGCCAGTCAATCAAATGATCAGTATACTGCACTCGGTAATTATCTTTAACCAGAATCAGTAATTATCTATACAATAATTATCTTCATCCATAATCAGTAATTATCTATAAAATATTTGTCTTCAACCAGAAACGGTATATGTCTATAAAATGTTTATCTTAATCCAGAATCAGCAATTGTCTATAAACTATCTTGTACCTGAATCTAAATCATATTTTTATTATGACTTTAGATAAAATCCCAGTAACATCAGTAAATACAATTTCTTATAATTTGAAATATAAGAAATAAAAGATATACGCCCACAGCAGTTAAGTCGTCCAAGCAGTCAACAAGTATTTTCTTTTGTCAGTAATGAGAACATTTACACCACATGAAAATCTAATTACGAGTAATAACCCATGAAGTAATTATCAGAAAACATTAGAAATTGTTTCGGTTGCTTGTCTCATGACCTTAAACAATTTATATTAACTTGAGCCTCTTGAGTGAATGAATGAAATGGATTTTTAGCCTCAAGAGTGTCCAAAAGATTTTTCAAAGTGATTAGGGCCTTAATTAACTCTGGCAGTAATTATTGGAAATTGTTGGAAATGAATAGGATTCTTTGTCTTGTGACCTTAAACACTGTGTATAAGTTTATGATCAATCAGATATTAACTTTAGCCTCTAGAGCTTCTACAAGATTTTTCAAAGAGGTCAAGGGCTATAACTCTGGCAGTAATAATTGAAAATAGTTAAAAATCAATGGCTTCTTCGTCTCATGACCTTAAACAGTGCGCATAAATTTGTCAATCGGATATTAACTTTAGCCTCTAGTGTGTCCACAAGATATTTCAAAGTGATTAAGGGCCATAACTCTGGCAGTAATTATCGGAAATCATTGAAAATCAATAGGCTGCTGCATCTCATGACCTGAAACACTGTGCATAAATTTTAAGTCAATTGGATATCAACTTTAGCCTCTAGAGTGTCTACAAGATATTTCAAAGAGATCAAGGGCTATAACTCTGGCAGTAACAATCAGAAATCACTGAAAATCAACAGGCCTTCAACACTGTGTATAAATTTCAAGTCAATCGGATATTAACTTTAGCCTCTAGAGTGTCCATAAGATTTTTTCAAAGTATTCAAGTGCAATTACTCTAGTAATCATCGAAAATCACTGAAAATCAATTGGCTTCTTCGTCTCATGACCTTAAACACTGTGTGTAAATCTAAAGTCAATTGGTTATATTAACTTTAGCCTCTAGAGCGTCCACAAGATTTTTCAAACTATGGCAGTAATTATCTGAAATTGCTGCAAATCAATAGACTTCTTTGTCTCATGACCTTAAACACTGTGTATAAATTTAAAGTCACTCAGATATTAACTTTAGCCTCTAGAGCGTTCACTCTCGGACCGACGGACGAACAGACGGACGTATTTGGGCGACTACAATACATACACGACCACATTTCAATGTGGGCATATATAAAGACACATTACTATTTATAAATTACATACAAATAACAGTATTCATTCATAAAATTTCTGCAAATCATTCCAGATTATCAACTCCATAGCACTTAATATCGTCTTCGGCTGAACCGAATAATATTGGTGTGACCTTGGAGATGATACTCTCTAATATGGAGAGATTTATTAACTGCTGCTACACTATCTAATAACACCTGCTGTTTATTATCACAAACCTGGTTCAGTGTTCTTGACAATTTATCTAATAACATTTTTACAAATGATCCTTCCCAGAACGGCTCAGTACTAAAATCTTTATCAACAACAGGTTCAGATGGCCAGTTCCATGGTTTACACATTTGTTCCACGTTAGAGAACTGAAACACATGATGATAATTCTATTAAAGCAGTTACAACAATTCTTATTAAATAAACAGTTGGTACTAATTACAGAGCTGTCTTCCATTGTCTGTGTTTTTTTTATCTTTTTAAATGAAATAAAGAATCAGAGGGTGATAAAAAGACATGTATATAAAATTACAGAGCATTATATGTTTTCATTTCATTTGGACACCAGGAGGTTCCGTTCATCCACAGGATTTTTCAAACTAGTTTCCCCATGAGTAAATGGAAATGGCATTGTCTGGACAAAATTTCTTTCAGCGCATGGTTGGTACAGATTATTAAGAAGTCGAATTCCATTTCATTTCATTGTGAGAGAAATGGAGTTTAACATCCATTTGACACGAACCAGACCATTTCAGGACTAACATATGGTTTAATTTTATTTCAATAATTCACTTGCGTGTATGGGTCTTTAGTAATGGGAGGAAACCGAACATCCCGGAGAAAACCCACCAGGTTGGAAAGGTCACCATACTCTTTGTCAGGTACAAGTGAAAAATTGAACCATGCCACTCAACTCAATGACAGGTCTTAGGATAAAAAGCACACGGGTTAAACCATTTGGGCACTAAAAAATATAATAAAAAGCTTTTCAGAAATGGAGGGTAGAAATATGGAAAAGATCTCATGTATTACAGACCTGTTTATGTGCATCTTTTAAATACATATCGTAACCGCTATCAGCTGTTTGATATGATGACTTAGCTTCTTCTGGTAATAAACTTAAAAAACTACAAAAATAAATAAAACTTCATGTTATATACATAATATACATAACAAACCCCCCAAAACAACACATGTTCAACTAACATAATATTGTATACAAAGCCACTTTTAAAAACCAGTAATTAAGAAATAAAATGTATCCTCTAGCTGTGTGCAAAAATGCAATTAATTAAATGTTTGCTTACCTCGTCACAATCTTATGTACTTCAGCTCTTGGATATGACTTTGGAGTATCGGTACCAGTACCTGAAATACAAGAAAGTAAGAAATCAGTGTCTTTTTTTTATTCTGTACAGAAAGGGAAATCTCCAAGGACTAAAAGAATTGGCATCACCTTAATAACAAAAGTTCCTTATATAATAAAGACCCACATTCACATTCCTTAGCATGAGCAACTTCAAAATTTAATTATTTCTAACTTTTGCTGAAAAAAACAACCATGGCAAAAACAAAATTTGAATTCATTGTGGATGGGTAGGTGTGAAATATAAAATTTGCCAATTATTTTGAGTTCAAAATCATAACGCCTGTTATTGCAAGTTCAAAACCCTGTTTTTATGAGTTTAATCTTGTTATTGTAAGTTTAAAATCTGAATTACAGTTATTGTAGGTTTAAAATCCCCAATTACTGTTATCATGAGTTTAAAAATTCTTATGCCTGTTATTGTGAATTCAAAATCCTAATTTGATGGAATTACAATGGATTTGTGGGTCTTGAATATCCTGAGGTTTTTCCTATCAATAACCACATACTTGACAAGTTAAAATTAATCTGTTTTTCTAGATAATTCAACTATTGCATGTTACTTAAGTTGTCTGGCTGAAAAAACCTTATAAAAAAATAGAGTAATTTTTTTGTTAAAAAAATTGTGAAAAGGACAGACTAGACACACATAATACCTGTATAACTATAATGTATAAATGCCCTTGTTAAATCTGATAACTAGGTATTAATGTCAATGATGTGGTCTTTAATGATGAAATATCAGTAAAGGACATATATAAACATTTACAAGCTTATATACGGTACACAGATTCAAGTCTAAAAACCTTGAAGAATATCATTCTTAAGATCATTAAAATTAGTGATTAATGCTTACACTATCGTCTGATATAGCCTACCGGTATTTTTCAGTTTGTTTCAAGCCTAAAATCATGAAGATTTTCAATAAATCATGCTTAAAATCACTAGATAGAGAGATCAATATATCGACTGATATGTGATATACCAGTATTTTTCAGTTAGTTCACCACACTGATGATCCAAGCTTACATCATGAAGATAAGAATATCATTCTAAAATTACTAAAATTAGTCATGAGCTGCACAGTATCGGCTTATGTATATTCAGTTGGCCCAAATCAACATCGGTCAACAACTGCATGATCTACCATTATGTTTCAGCTTTTTCATACGGATTCAAGTTTAAAATCCTTAAGGATATTCCTCTTAAGATTATGGGGGGTTGGATGGCCGAATAGTTATCATTGAGTCAACTGGTGTGGTTTTGATTTCCAGGTTGTACGTGACAAGGAGTGGGGTTGCCTGTCCAATCTCGTGGGTTTTCTCCGGGTCCTCCGCTTTCCTCCCACTGCTAAAGACCCCTACGCACAAGCAAATTAATGAAAAAAAGTGAACTCTCTCTCTCTTAAAATTAAGGATGAGTCAAACAGTGGTTTGCTACTGGCTGATGCATGCCTAAATGGCCCAAATCAATATTGACCAGCAACCGGTCCAGCAATAATTTTCAGCTGTTCACCACACAGATTCAAGTTTAAAATTTTCAAGAATATCAAATTGAAGTTACTGATGAGACAATCGCCAACATCCATCGACAACTTTGTCTACCGATATTTTCAGCTGTTCGCTACAGTAATTTGGATGTAGGATTAAATTGTTAAATTGATAGGAATTATTTGTCTCTTATGTACTAATACAGACCATCTATAAATCGGTTTATATATTCATTCAGCGTAGGGATACTATTTGTCTCAAACGTAAAATGAATCTGTGATATCCATGACAAAAACAGTCAGCTCATAGGGCCTACCCACCATCTTCAATATAAAAAGATGTCGGCCCGTCCAGTTATTTATCGGCGCCAGGCTGACGGACTGACGTAAATTTTAAACACTGTATAATCCACAACTACATATACATGTATCAGGTGGAAACGAAACAAAAATAAAAATGAGGATTTATCATCATTCAAGGACATTTTTGAGAAACATTTTAGACATACGATATTGCTGAATAAGAATAATACTTCTTCCAGATCTGTGGGTGAAAAAGAATGGGGTATAGAATCTTGTCAACACAATGCTTCAGTTATTTGCGGTTGTACGTGACAAGGAGTAGGATCGCCTGTCCAACTTCGTGGGTTTTCTCCGGGTCCTCCGGTTTCCTCCCACTGCTTAAGACCCCTACGCGCAAGCGAATTATGGAAATAAAATTGAACCATATGTTAATCCCGAAATGACCTAGTTTGTGTCGAGTGAACGTTAAACCCCATTTCTCTCTCTCTGTTTCAGTTATTTGTGACTAACAGATCTGTGGGTGAAAAAGAATGGGGTATAGAGTCTTGTCAACACAAAGCTTTAGTTATTTGAAACTAACATACCATACTGCAGTAAGTTTCATTTCTATGGTTAAGTACACAGTAGCCCCTGAGGGACATTCTGGTTTAGAGGTCAGTGTCCTGCCACAGAACTCTCATGGGTCAAATTACTATTCGGGTCATGAAAATGAACAGAAAAATATTTCATCAGATATCTTTTAATAAATTACAAATTCAATGGGTTTATGATTTCTTGTTCCATCTAAATCCCAAAAATTCCCTGTACACCGATAAGCTTTCTAACACTCTTTCAAAAAAAATCAGCAGAACATTTTCCGCTCAATGACAAGAGAAATTTATCATGACAACAAAAAGCTGATCATACACAATTCATGAAGATTGTTTTCTATATCACAGATTTAAAGAAATGAAATAAAATGCGGTTTAAGTCCTATCTTTCTGCACCAACTGGACAATTTAAGATGGGTATACCCCATCTAGATGATGAGGGATATTTTACCCAGTCAGTTAAAGGGGCATTTGGTAAAATTAGATAAAGAGCTGACAGTTCTCACTAAAATAGTTAAACAATCGATAAAGAAAGAATATGATGAAAACTTCAGTCAAATTACTTCACTCTGAGCCTAGTTATCAGCAAATCAATTACAGCCTAGCCTTCACATTGCTACCATTGTTACGATAACAAACAAAGTCCTGATTATCCATTTTTACGATATTCACAAAACATATTTCAATGGCATTGAGAGTTCATTGAGTTCACCGACTGGGCTAATGAAGATGGTATATGCCACATTGTATATGCTATGAGTATTAGGGAAATTTTATCTATTCATATATTGAATTCCATCTGTCAAGGGTTCTTTTCTTTATGTTTACACAGGACCTCGTTTTTTTCATCGCAGTGGGGGAACCACTCTGGAAAATCCTGATGAACTTTCTCGGTGTTCTTTGTGTTTAATGTCAGCTTCCACCAAAGGTGATATCGCAGACAAGTTGTCTTTTTCATTATCTTAGTGCACACGCAGGGGTCTTTCCTGTGGGAGGAAACCGGAGTACCCTTTATCATTGACTCAAATCCACGTAGTTCTGTCATCTCAATTGGAAGAAATGAGATTTAATTCAGTTCAAAGATAACATCTGAAGTGATAAAATGATATTTCTCTTATTTCCGTTTGTCATGCCACTGAATTTTTCAGTTAGTGATTCAAATCAGAAACTTTGTGCACATTTCCAATTAAGCCACATTTTCTATTCTCCATTGCACACTGTGAACATGTCCTTCATGAATGGTAAATGTATTTTAAATGTAGAAATATGAAAATAAATGGTTCTAATGACCTTCCTTAAGTGATTTATTACCTTATATTAGAATTTAATTGAAAATTAATGATTATAAATCTAAGTCACGTCTAACGTCAATATAAATCACAAAGAAACAATCATCTCATTATTGATACTATGTTTATTAGTTTTATCAAAATACTAAATCAACCACCATTGACAAACTATATTCAGAACGTCCCAGCCGCCGTATTCCATGCTGGAATTAAAGTAACTATATACATGTATATGCACAATTTGCATTTTTCGGAAAATATTAAATTTCTCACAGCTTAAAGGAGCTAAATCACTAATATTTGGGACCTAGAAATTGAAACAAATGGGTCGCAACACATATAATAATGAAATATGAATGTATATAAACTGATTTACAATCAATCGTTTTTGTTTTTACCTTTTTTATTGTAATTTCTAATACACTAGAAGTCTCAATAGAATGGCAATCTCTAGTGTCTGGTTATTCCAGTCTACACTGATAGTATTGTATTGCGCATCTTCACCAGATAAGAATATGAAGTCACTGTTTGGCATAACTTGTGGAATATCTCTAGCCTCGTTCTTCGAGTCGCTTGTTACAAATAGCGCTGAAACACATTATGGTACACGATTCGTGTACCAATGGTAAAATGTTTATTTGGTCTTACATATTGGATATCAGAAGCCCATCTTTTCCCGGTAAAATCACAACATCAATGTTGATTTAAACTGACAAATAATTCGTGATTTCAATGTCGAAGACTTTGGATGATTTTGAGTTAGAGACTTAGCTACTTTAATCCACTCTAATACGTACCGTCCTGAGATTGATTATTTAACATTCTGTTAAGAAATTAAAATCAGAATAAGAAATGTAGATAATCTCCTGACTTAGATTTCGAAAAAAAGATAAAGATGACGATGGGCTTCTTATATTAGAATATCGTGAATGCAAAGTAGCAGAAAGATCAACTTAGAACAAACAAGCAGGCTGCCATGCAAGATATGCCCACATTTTGCCAGAGATGGAAGTAGAACAATCAGGAACCCAGATCTGTGGAATATAAATATAAGTTTCATCAAAATCGGAAAAAAATTAGGACCTCTCGAGCGGCCACAACTAAAAACATGATTGTTCATGCAATCAGAGTACATAATCCATGAAGTTATCGTCCGATACATGCCAATATAAAAATGAACCAAATTCTTTGGAATATAAATCAGATAAAAATTGTGACCTGTCGAGTGACCAGAAACAAATGTGAACGGACGTCCGAATGGACAGGGTTGATGACAAAATATGACCACATAAAAATGTGGGCGTATAAAAATGTAGACCAGTGCTGTTGAC